CACCAATCAATGTCGAATGCACTATGTGTGGCGACACCTAGGATGAAACTCATTTTTGGAAGCTCTTATTTACAGCATATGAAGTACATTACTAACAAAGATTATTTATGAAGTCAAACTCTTCTGACCCAGTACAATCATGGAACTAAACCAAAATAAAAGCATTGATTTACTGACATCTTTCGCGTCAATTCGTTCTCACACAACCCAAGTCAGCATGTGCGCTATTGCCCAAGTCAACCCGAACGCTATCGGTACGCGTTTCGTCACTCTTGGTACGCGTACGGTACAACACGCCTCGTACGCGTACGAACGTCACGCAAAATGCGCGTACCGAGCGTGACGATCACGCGTACGTCACGCGTACAAAAAAGCGTATGAACGCACTTTAGTAATTTTTCTATTGGATCCTTCTATGAATTCAATAGCCTCAACCAATCCACTGTGTGGCGCTAATTACTATACGTTATGCAATTTTTTTTTTAACTTTATTTTATTGAGACTTTGTTCTCAAGTCCAAAAAAATTTACAAGCACACGCATAACAGAAAAACAAATGAAGTTACAAATAAAAAAGTTCTAACTTAAAATATTTCGCTTGAAGGAGACAATAAAACAAAGAGCTTAACAAAAAAGCTAATTATAAAAATAATAACAAAAAAAAAAACATAAATATAACAAAATATTAAAAACAAAAATATAAATATGAAACAAGAACTTTAAAAAGAATTAAACATTGACATTTAAAAATTTCTAAAACAAACAATCATAAATTTTTTAAACTTTTTAATATTAAAATTTTATTTTTTCAATATTTGCGTTTAATTTCTTTAATATTAATATATAAAAATTTAAAAAGAAATAAATGTAAACATTTTATTAACTAAATACTACCCATATCAAAACAAAAAACACTAAATATAAATATGAGAAAATATTGAAAAAAATTATAATTACTTGTTTTTAAATTTTTATATAAATAATATTTAATTTTTTTTAAATATTTTTTTATGCGCATATTTAATATTTTTTAAAATTTTTCATATATTCATATAAAAAAAATTAAATATTATCATATAAAAGTTTAGAAACCAACAATTATAAATTGTTTTCAATATCTTCTCATATTTATATTTAATGTTTTTTGTTTTTATATGGGTAATATTTAGTTGTTAAATATGTTTAAATTTAATTTTTTTAAAATTTTTATATATTACTATTAAAGAAATTAAATGCAACTATTAAAAAAAATGAAATATGAATATTAAAAAAACTATTAAAAAAATTTATAATTGTTTGTTTTTAAACTTTTATATGATAATATTTAGTTTTTTTTACATGAATATATGAAAGATTTTTCAAAATATTAAATATACGCATAAAAAACTATTCAGAATAATTAAATATTATCATATAAAAATTTAAAAACAAATAATTATAAATGTTTCTCAATATTATTTTAACATCGATATTTAATTTTTTTTAATATTTATATTTAATTTTTTCAAAATTTTTATATATTCATATAAAAGAAATTAAATGCAGATATTAAAAAAATTAAATGTTTTTATATGAAAATTTAAAAAAAAATGTTAGTACAAAAATTTAAAAAATTTACGATTCTTTGTTTTTATCGCTATAAAAAAAAATAGTAAACCGTTACTTATAATTTATTCATTGTAGTTCTATCACTTTATTGTCGAATTGTACTAATTTGTGTGCTACGCGAACCCCAAAATATTTGCAGAGAAAAACCTTAAATAATTAATAAAAGAAAATTTTTATTTGTGTAAAAATTACACTCAAACATAGGCTATATATATACGAGAAACGGCCAAGTCACATTCAGACAATAGCCTTTGTCTATTCAACCATTGTTGAATTACTAGCCTCCCTAATGAGGAGCAGCGTTTCTAATAGAAATCTGAAACAAAAAGTCCAATGACACTTTATATTTGCAATCAAAGTGTAAAATGACACTTTGTTTTTTTAAACAGAGTGTCACAAAGTTTCCAAAGTGCTGTGTTAGAATTGGATTAAAGAAAAAGAAAAAGAAATATTTAATATAAATTTGTTACAGGTATTCGACTGACAGAGAGGTTCACATCCCGCTCTTGTGAAATTTGCGTTTTTGCCAAGCGAATTCTTCAGCGTTTTATTCAGATTTTTGTTTACTAATTTTCAAAAGGCCACTGTAATCTACGTTATCTGTTGAATTCAGGAGCCTTCCGATTGTGGCCCTGAGTTGTTGATCTCCCCATACTTCGCCTATAGCTTGAGACATCGAAGCTAGGAGAGCCAGTTTAACTCTGAAAATACTGATGTGAAAGCAAACTTTTCCAGAGATCATTTTTTGAGAAAAGAAGGTATCTGTTTATCTATTTCAGGGTAAGTTATTTTTTAAAGACTATTTTTTACGAAGTTTCACATAGATTTTCTCTTGTGAAAGAATAATTTGTTTACAAGAAGAATTTCAGAAAAAAATTACGTTAACTTCAAAGTAAAGCTAAAGTACCACACCTGATTGAGGCGCTTCTCTCACATGCCTGTGTAAGATCGAATAGAAAATATACAGCTTTTAGTAATTAATAGCGTTCGATGAAAAATTCTTTTATCTAATATTTAATAGACGAGATAAAACAAAAAATAGATAAAAATGGATACTATTTAGTTTACTTAAAACATGAAAAGCATATATATATTCTGTGTACAGAATATTGTTTATGGGTGAGGACGATATGTATAAAATAAACTAGTATCCCCTACTAAAATCCAAATACATCTATTAGTTACATTACTGCGGTTTATACTTGTCTCGATCAATAGTGATTAGACAAACATTCGCATAAGTTACTTTAAAGGTTCTGTCAAGTATAAAAGAATAACAATAATTGAAATGTAGAGAAACGTTCCAATAAATCCAAATACTAACTAAAAAATGTCAGCATAATGAATACATCAATATTAATCACAAAATTCAGAAGTTGGGATAGGGATATGTTTTCGACGAGCAGCAAAGTATAAATTATTCTCAACAAGAGTCGACTTGACACTTTGTTGTCATCAGCAAAGTGTCAAACACAGTGTCAATCGAATATCGCAAGGATCTTGGACACTTTGTAACAAAGGCTGACCCTTGCTGTTAGAAACACTGATGAGGAGTTGTTAGCCGAACGCATGATGTACATGTTATCACGCATGGTATGTATACGTACATGTGACGACACGCGTACCAAGCGTACATAGCGTGACGTGCGCGTACCATTAGCGTTCGGGTTGACCTGGGTGGTACGGGGTACGGTACGCTTGTGCGCATTGGTGCACCTAGTGTCACGAGTGACGTAACGCGTACTGTGATGTACCGATGCGTTCATCACTAGTTCGTGTGACGTACGTAATGTCGCATCCAGTGGAGAGGCCGTCTATCCACATATATGGTACCAACAACAAAGGCATATCTATATAACGGACATCCTTTTTGGAAAAAGAATAAAAACTGAAACAATTAGTTTTTCTCATACAAATATTATATTTTATATATATACTTAAAAATATTTCATTTATATTTTTCTATGATTTTTTTTAATATAAATTAAATATTTAATTTATTTTTTGATTCTTTTTTTTAGAATGTATATTAAAGTATTTAATTTGTTTTTTTATAACTGTTTTTACAATCTATATTAAAATATTTAATTTTTTTATAATATTTTAGGGCATATACTGAAATATTTAATTTATTTTTTTAATAATTTTTTAGGATATGTACTAAAAATTTGAATTTATTTTTTTATATTTTTTTTAGGATATACATATATATAAGTATTGAATTTTTTTATAATTTTTAGAATATATATTACAATATTTAACTTTTTTTATAATTTTTTTAGAATATATATAAAAAACATACACTAAATATTTTTTTTATAATATTTTTACAATTTTTTTTATTAATCTAATTGTTCCAGATTTCTTCTTCATCTTGTATTTTAGACGAAATCAAGATGAAGTTGATCAAGGAACTACTTCTCTCATTGCTGAAATAAACAATGAATAAAACAGTCAAGATCAGTTCAATGATGAACAGGATGATGACGATGATTATTATTGATATTTAATTTATGTGTTAAAAGTTATAAGATTTATGCTACTTATTTATATTATAAGTTATGTACATGAAATTATGTTGCAGCTTTGTCAAAACTTAAAGTTCATTTTTTTGCATCATGAAATTGGAACTGGCACACTTATCCATCTGTACGTTATTCAGAAAATTTTAATTTTATATTGGTTTTCTTTATAAAAGTTGCAAATCTCATGATACATTTATGTGATGTGACATCTTGTCATTTTTTTTTGTAAAACAAATATTGAATTTTTTTTTCTTCCAGTCATTGTTGTTGTCTACTCAAGTGTTTTTAGTTTGACAATCATTTGAACGAAATAAAACATTTTTTTAATTGTGAAAATTAAAATAAGTCTCTCATAAATGAACCAATGGTAAAAGAAAAGGAAAAGCGAACGTCGCTAATGGTACGCGCACACGTACGTACGCGTGACAATCCGTGCGCGTACCGAGCGTC